CGCCGGCTCCCCCCACCCGCCCAGTATTCTTCGAGGAACTTGTTTGTCCTCCAATAAATGCCCTTTAATCCTCAAGACGTCTCCAGATTTTACCAGGTAGCAGGAAAGTGGTACAGAGAGAAAGAGAATAAAGTATTTTAAAATATCTCAGGGAAACCTCCAAATATTTATTTATATTTATTTATTTATTTTTGGGATTTATATCCCGCCCCATCCAATATACAGCTCAGGGCGGCTAACAAACGGCCATGCCGAAGTTAAAATATGCATACAAACAGCAGCATAATAAAAACTCTATATCTTAACATAAAAATTTGGTGCTTTGATAATTTACATAAAATCCGAGATGGGTGACGTCCCACACTGGCGGCCAAGTTCTTCACAGCAGGAGCGCCAGGAGGAATGTTTCCCCAGCTCTATTGGGCGACATCTATCCCCACTATGTGGGGTAGATGGTTGGAATATCATTGGTGGAATAGTGGCGGCGGTGGCTCCCCCTCAAAGGCCTGGCGGAAGAGCTCCGTCTTGCAGGCCCTGCGGAACTGCACTAGGTCCTCCTCCCCCCCCCCAATTTTTTTGATCCATCTTAACGGCTCTGAACATGGGTCTCTTGATAGCTTTTCTCTGTGTCTTTGTTGTTGTTTATTTACCACGGCTTTTCCCCACGGCCAGGATGGGGTTTTGCTAGGAGCGGTCGGCGCTTATGACTGGAACGGAGCGGTGCTGAAAGAGACCAGCAGTGGCAAAGTGGTTCCCCACCGAGAATCATACCTCCAAGAATTCCCCGAGGAGCTCAAGAATCACGGAGCATACCTAGGTAAGGGGAACTGCTGGGTAAAATGGCACATAGTCCTCTGTTCCACATAGTCTTCTGCTCACGGCAGAAGAACCAAATCTATTGTGGCCTATAAGAACATAAGAAGAGCCCTGCTGGATCAGACCAATAATCCGTCTAGTCCAGCATCCTGTCTCATGCAGTGGCCAACCGGTTCCTCTGGAGGGCCAACAGCAGGGCAGAGAGACTGAGGTCTTCCCCTGAGAAGAACATAACCCCTGCTGGATCAGACCAGTGGCCCATCTAGTCCAGCATCCTGTCTCACGTAGTGGCCAACCAGTTCCTCTGAACGGTCAACAACTGGGCAGAGAGGCCGGGACCTTCAAAAGAACAGCGGAAGAGCCCTGCTGGATCAGACCAGTGAAGGTCCATATAGTCCAGCATCTCATTTCACACAGTGGCCAACCAGTTCCTCTTGAAGGGCCAGCTACAGGGCATAGAGGTTGAGGCCTTCCTCCGATGTTGCCTCCTGGCTCTGGGATTCAGAGGATTAGTGGCTCTAAATGTGGAGGTTCCAAAGTTTATCCTACCAGAGCAAGAACATCAGAAGAGCCCTGCTGGATCAGCACAGTGGAGGTCTATCTAGTCAGCATCGCCTCTCACACAGTGGCCAGCCAGGTCCTCTGGAGGGTTAACAACAGGGCACAGAGTCTGAGACCTTCCCCTGATGTTGCCTCTTGGCTCTGAGACTCAGAGGTTTAGTGCCTCTGACTGTGGAGGTTTCCCTCAGTCATCATGGCTAGTAGCCACTGATAGACCGATCCTCCATGAATCTTTCTCCATGAATCTATCGTGTTCCTTGACTGGAGCTTCTATACAGGACAAAATGAATCTGAGGAACCCTTTCCGTCAGCCACCTTTTCATTCAATAAGTTTGCAAGCTTTCAAGTTAAGAACATAAGAGACGCCAATGTTGGATCAGGCCAATGGCCCATCTAGTCCAACACTCTGTCACAGAGTGGCCAAAAATACCAGGTGCCATCAGGAGGTCCACCAGTGGGGCCAGGACACTAGAAGCCCTCCCACTGTTGCCCCCCCCCCCAAGCCCCAAGACTACAGAGCATCACTTGCTCCAGACCGAGAGTTCCTATAAGACCATAAGAGAAGCCAATGTTGGATCAGGCCAATGGCCCATCTAGTCCAAAACACTCTGTCACACAGTGGCCAAAAATACCAGGTGCCGCCAGGAGGTCCACCAGTGGGGCCAGGACACTAGAAGCCCTCCCACTGTTGACCCCCCCAAGCACCAAGAAGACAGAGCATCACTTGCCCCAGAGCCCCTATCTATACCTTGTGGCTAATAGCCACTGATGGACCTCTGCTCCATATGCCTATCTAATTCCCTTTTGAAGCCGTCCATGCTTGTAGCCGCCACCACTTCCTGTGGCAGTGAATTCCATGTGTTATAATCACCCTTTGGGTGAAGAATTTGTGCAGGTTTTCCCCCACTTGAAGAGTGAGAACAAACCCAGATAACCTGAAAATGATGGGGACTTAAGGTCTGTGCTGCTGTATATAGTGTATTCTCAGTAGGATCCTATTATGTAATTTCTGTACCGCTCAGTATGTCCTCTTAATCTATATGCTACGCTTCAGTTCTTTCTCGTGGTTCCAGACTTCTAAAGTCCTGATGCATGGGCTACTGAATGTCCTATCCTGTTGATGGTCTTGACTCCCTCTGTGTAATCCGCCTTGTGTCCCTGGGAAAAAGGCGGACAACAAAGAATGTAGTTAAATAAATAAAAGCATTATGTTATTGAAGGTTTTCACAGCCAGAGTTCATTAGCTGTTGTAGATTTTCCGGGTTGTGTGGCCGTGGTCTTGGCAT